TCTCCTCTCGTCTCGTCTCGTCTCGTCTCGTCTCGTCTCGTCTCCTCTCGTCTCGTCTCGTCTCGTCTCGTCTCGTCTCGTCTCTTCTCTTCTCTTCTCTTCTCTTCTCTTCTCTTTCTCTCTCTCTCTCTCTCGCTGGTCCTAATCCCAACTTTGGGCCTTGTGAAGTCTCTATCTAGGTTCCTGTTCTGCGGTTCACCAGGGTCACCCAGGTGTAGGGCTATTCCGCCGGGTTCCCACCACTCATCCAGGCTCGCGCACCTGCAGAGAGGCATAGAGGAGATATTCAAACAAACTGCTCGCAGCCACCTCTGCTGGAGTTAAACCTTCTCGGGTCCGAAGTGTCAGCGATGCGCCTTTCCTGGGGAAGAGAGAGGGCAAAGAGATGGGACAGGACAGGATTGAAGATCTTGCAAGCAGCGCTACCTTTTTGAGCAATGGATAATGTCCGGACAGGAGACTTGGGTATATATAGACGATAGCGACAATCATAGGCACTTCCCCCAATCACCGGTCCTTGCAATGAACCTTGGACTGAAAGGTTCCCAAACATCACCAGCACAGAATTGCACCAATCCACCGGTTTAAACTCCATTGAATATGGGACCTATTCTGTTTTTTTTGCTCTCGCCTTTGGCATGCTGCCTGTAGCAGCCGTGCAAGTCAGCCATCTCGGCACTTTCAGCCGTGCAATATGGCACCTTTTTTAAGCGAATGATGGGTGAAACATGGGTGCAAGACACGCTTCCTCCACCACTAAAGCCCTGCAGCTGCCATTGTTTGTGCTGCGCGCTGAAGCGGAAAGTGAGGAAAATGCGCCTTTCTTATGAAGACTACTCAAAATTGGGGGGCCCTTGCCCGGCCCTGATTGCATCGTGCAAAAGTAACTTGCAAACTTGCCCGGGCCACTTTTGGGCCTTGCCACCCGGTCGCCACAGGTTTTCTTCATATCTTTTAATCCTTCGATCACATCCATGGCGTCGAACAGGGCTAGGGACGCCTGTAGGAGGAAAGCCGCCTGACCAGCGCCAGGGATAAACCAAAGAGCCATCGTCGATCTGAGCGACCAGCTCTTGTCTTTTTAAGGATTGAGCTGCAGAGCTGCAGACAAAATGCCCTCGTCGTAGAGGACCTCCAAGATATCATTGACGTCTAAGGCCATTTTGGTCATATCATCAAAGTTATCCATCTTCCTCACTATGTCAAGGATCAAAGACACCGCTCTGGAGTTGGTCTGGACCAGGTCAGCCACAAGGGCTCCACTGGGTGTTTCAATGCCAAGCATTCCGAAGGCCAGCCCCATACAGCCCACGGCGACCTGGACACTGGCCCCAACAAGCGCAGGATTCTCTGTTTCGATCAACATCAGCGAGGTGCCGTTCACTGGGCTCGCAGGAGCTGGCGGTGGCAATTCGCCGATGTCAGCATCATCGAAGACCAGCGGGGTGATCAAAGGCTCATGGACAATGAGTTGCATGCATTCTTCAGGGTACCAGTGGCATGCTATTGCTATGCCAGCCCGAAGATCTGGACAGGTTAGGTTCTTCTTGGTGGTCTCACTCTCAAGAACCCGCACATCCTCCGCAGAAATGATACCATCACTGTTCCGGTCGAAACGATCAAAGGCCGATGCCCAACACTCACGGGTTTTTAGCCTTGAGAAGGCTTTCCTTGGCACGCGAGATCCCTCAAGGTGAAGGCCGTGAAGACTTCACTCATCCACAAGGGATGTGAATGGCGATTTGCCACACGACGTGACTGATGATTCAGCAAGCTCGTGACATCTGCCCCGCTTGGGCAAGACTCCAATGCAAAGGCCACGGCGAGCAGATTCACCAGCAAGGGAAGCATGGCTCTGCACGGCACCCGAGAAATGGGATCTACTCAAGGGATGCGGAAGCTACAAAATTCTTGAACCAAAATGGCAACGGAAACCCCTGCAAAAGGAATAACAAACACAAAGCAAAAACAACAAGAAAAAATAACAACACTATATATATAACGATCCTGGAATACTTAGAATTTTGGTAGGTTCCAATTCCGCGGCCAAAAAACAAATAAAAATACATAGAATATACCGACCCAAACGGTACATAGAATATTTCAATTCTGAAGATGCTTCTCTGTGTCCAACCGTCGGCCATGTACTTAGAATATGTCACACATGTTTTCAATTCTGAAGATGCTCTTAGGAAACCAAGAGCAAGCATCATTTTCCTTGGCCACCACTGCAGCGGTTGGCACCCTTGAGTGCTTAATTATACTATACACATCAGAACTAGTTACCCTTCGGTATCCGTCACTGTCCGCTTCTGGCAGTCGATGCAAATCTGGAACGCTTGCATCTGTTTGGCCCGATGTTCCAACCCCAGTTCTAACCCCTTAGGCGTTTGTGCAGCAAGAATGGCTGCAACAAGAGGTTACTGATACAAAGGTCCTGAAGATGTCAAGTGTTCACAATCCACGAGATTCCAAGTACATTATGTTGTTAAATTCCGGAAGATGTTTTTGTATTCCAAGTATACGTTTCGAGTCCAATTCCGGAAGATGCAAAATATTCCAAGTCCCGTTTCGGTTTCAATTCCGGAAGATGCCCATGTAGGGTGTGGACCTCCAATTCCGTATTCTATGTACTTCAGGATTGCTATATATATATACACATATAATTTGTATATATATACTACCTACGGCAGGGAGCCTCCTATAGGCCCAGTCCCACCGGAAGGGTATATAAACAAGTTTATCCGGCGGTCCAAGATTTTCACTGGCCAAGCATTCGGCAAGTTTCTCCAGTAGGAACTGTACGGCCACCAGATTGCCCTGGCACGATGTGTCAAGTGCTCCCTGTTGGGGAGATGAAAGAACATGAGTTCATAGATGCAGGAAATCAATCCGAAACGGAGGTTTGTTCAGTGGAAAATGTGCCACAGCAATGCACACATAGTGGATCTTTTGGGGTTCAAAGTGCGCAAAAAGAACTTGTGCCAAAGTGCGCCCAGGTGTCCTTTATGCGCAACGGCTGGCCGGACCAGATTATTAAGACGAGGTTGGATCGCTCGTCATCACCGCCCCTTGAGAAGCAACATGAAGCAGCTAACATCAAGTAACCAGGCCCTCGGAGATATGAAGCAATTGGATGATCATGTACACGCCTTATGTGCTGCATAATGCAAAGCTGACCATCGCTGACAGGGTTGACAATTCCTGAGATCGAGCAACGGAAGAATTATGATGAATTATGCACCTGAAAACCAGCATTTTTTGATCGCAATGCGGTATCATCTTAGACAACTGCATCAGTTTCGTCTAGGGGGTGATGTTCACCCAATCTGGTTTAGAGTGTCCAGTTTCACCCCTTCCCAACCTGCATTCTGAAGAATGCACGGGGTGAGTTTTAAGATCATCGGGTCTTGGCAACGTGTTTTAAAACAGGCCTGTCAAACGAAACCATCTGCATCAACGACAAATCAACTTTGAAGTCTCAACCTCTCCACATGGAAATTATTCCCTTGCAAGGCTTTGATTGGTTTCCTCTCAAAACTGGGTGGCTCACCACTATGTCCAACGGTCGCCTGTTGGACAAGCATCACAAGCTCCGGCCTCTCTTCAAGCATCAGTCGCACTCGCTCGAAGTCGCCCGCCTCAAACGATGAATTTTCTCAAAGCCAAAAGCATCCAAAGGCCTTAGAAGTTGGGTCTATCCGAGTGGATGATGATGGTTCAGTTGCAGGCCTTGTCCAAAATTAGTGATACTTGTTTACTGACTGTTACAGGTAATAGGACAGACCCCACTTATAAGTAATAATTCTTCAAAAGGGTGAACGGTGAACACTTCCTTGATCATCCATCTGTGCCGACGGGAGTTCCGAATTTGTGCATTGTGTATTGAAAGCAAGTCTTCATGTGCTTTTGGCCAATAGATGTGAACACACGCCACACCCTAAATATCGCAACACCACACTCCTGAGTAAACAATCCTCCAGAACATCCTGACCTCAGCGCAGTACTGTTGTCATGTACTTGTCAGGCACACCACTTCAAGATCTGACTGGTGCCATGATCTGATTTGTGTTCTTTCTTCGTTAACTAACTCCTACCCATTCCACCTCTCATGTTGAAACAAATTCACCATTGCCCGGTCCAAAAGAGCAACAGGTTTTGCAATGAGGCTTGCACCCCTTCCTTGTTGGCGCTCGGGACTCCCTAGGCCCTAAGCATCAGGGCCTTAAAACGTAAAAACTCTTGGAGAGACAACAAAAAACAACAGAAAATTCAAGCCCCTAAGACGTCCATTCCTCCACCCACGCCATGCCATGCCCAGCTCGCAACACGCGCGGTCCGCCCGCGGGTCCTTGGCCGCGTCCAAAAAACGGTGCTGCTCCGTGAAGCGGTGTCGGCTCCCGCCCGTCTCGGTTGTCCAAAGGTTGTAAGACACAATGGAAGGTGAAAGAGCCACCTGTGAACCAAAGCTAGTCTTCCCAAGAGTCAAGTGAGTAGCAGGGTATTTTTCCAGGCCTTTCGCAGGACCTTCGCGAAGTTTTCGCAAGTTTTCGCACGTGGGGTTTTACCACTGTCGGCAAAAATTGTTTTTCGCTGGGACTAGAGACTTTCAAGAAACCATGCTGTTGCTCTAGCGGGTCTTGCGTCCTCTGATCACTGACACGTTGGCCGCCGAGGATCAGGAAGCCAACCAACAACCAACCAAACCACTTTCATTTTGGGGTCGTTTTGGTTGGGAGCAACCCTCCATGATCAAGAGACTGCTCAAGCCAGTTTGCTCACTTTGTGCTGGTTTATGGTTTTTTGTTTTGATGCTGAAAGGTTCAAAACCACCTCAGCTGTCAAGTGCACACATTGCATACCTGTACATTTTTTTTCACAAGCCAGCTTGGTCTAGTAGTCTAGTGGTATAATACCCTAGCTGTGAAGCCCCAGGTCCTGAAATCCACTCCTCCTACGAGCAGTGGGTATCATACCACCCTGCCTTGTGAGACTATGCCGCTCGAACCACGAGGCTTGATCCCGGAACTGTTTTTTGTTTTTTCCCGGGCCTGGAAAAATTCAAATTGGTTCCGACTTCCAATTTGCTTTTTCCCGGGCATGGAAAAAACGAATTGGTTGAGACTTCTATCATTGCACAACATTGGAGGTCGCTTCAGTGCAGCACCGCTTCAATTGAGCACAGAAAAACTCAGATCTAAATGTTCCTGTGAAAATCTGGAAAACACTTAGAAATCCTGAGAGATTCCTGTCAGCAAATCTGTTTGGAAGACCTTGTGTTCCAGAACCCTCTGCTTCACCCACCCACCCTGGCAAGCACAGCTTTCATTTTTTCCACAGCCATTCTCACTCCAAGTTCTGTCTGTGGATCTGGTCCCTGAAATCCACCTGCAGGGCAACAATGCTCTCAGAAAACAAATGCCAGTGTCAAATAAGTAAAACAGTCAACTGACATCATCTGATAGTTATAATTCTCATCAGCACCATCCCCAACTGAGAGGTGGATTCCAAGTGGTCCAAGCCTTGCCTTTCACAGGTGGGTGCTCAACTGTGAGCAGCACTTGGTTTTCACAGTGGGTGAGGCAGTAGTGTATGGCAAGTTGAAATACCTGCTAATAATAAAAACAAATATAATTGAAAACATCTGATATTGCCCACCATTTCTCAGGCCAAATATAGAGCCATGTGGCTTTCCAGGCCTTGCCTTTGACAGAACTGTGAGCAGCACTTGGTTTTCACAGTGGGTGGGGCAGTAGTGTATGGCAGGTTGAAATACCTGCTAATAATAAAAACAAATATCAATTGAAAACATCTGATATTGCCCACCATTTCTCAGGCCAAATATAGAGCCATGTGGCTTTCCAGGCCTTGCCTTTGAAAGAACTGTTAGGTTTTCACAGTTGGTGGGGCAGAGGTGTTTTAACAGCAGCAGCCCTTGCACATGAATTGGTTTGTGCTAGTACAGTGGCGCTTTCACAGCAGCAGCTTCTTGGTGCTAGTGCAGTGGTGCTTTCACAGCAGCAACCATTGCAAATAACATGTTGGCCCTTGGTGCTACAGCTGTACTTTCAATCCAGCAGTCTTACACACCCCACACCCCACCCCATACCCATTCCCCTTGCATAGCAGGAAACTTTACTTGCCAAAGCAGCATGCAGCATGCAACTGCACAAGGCTCTCCCCAGCAACCCTTCCAAGCAGCAGGCCACAGATAAGGCCCATGCACACTGCCACCCCAAGAGCCTCTCCACCTTTGCAGGCACCAAACTAGTCAAAACGCCTTTTCTCATGAGTTTGGCTTCTCTTACTGCCATTTGGCAAGTAAGCAGGCTTCAAACTACCCCTCCTGCAATTTCAAATGTGCCTTTTCAAATGGACAGGCTTCAAACTACACCTCCTGCACTTTCAAATGTGCCTTTTCAAATGGGCAGGCTTCAAATGCATCCCTCCTGCAATTTCACATGTGCCTTTTCAAATGGGCATTGAATTCTAATATACAATGTCATGCGTATCTTACCACTTTTGGAAGGCTCTTGATGGTGTCCTCAAGTTGCTCAACTATGTCATCAGGCAGCTCACCAGGAACCTGGACTCTTTGCCCTCCCACTGGGTATGTGTCTTGTAGCTTTTCCCACTTTTCCCAGTTGTGCTGGTGGACCAGGGCCAATGCCTCTTGCCAGGTCCTCCTCTCCACAAATGTTCTACTGAAGGTTTTTTTGTCATAAGGTGATGGCAGCTCCTTGTGCTCCTGCCTCCAACCAGAAGTGAAGCGGTGATCTTGGAAAGATACACCAAATTTGCACCCTGGTGGGGAGAGTGCACTCAACAACTCTTCAGGTGACTTTCTCCTGGCAGCCCTGACTGGTGGTGGTGCTTTTGAAGAGGATGCAGCAGAAGAACCAGGCACATCAGGTTCCACTGGCTCTGCAGGCCCTTGGTTTGGCACTGCAGGGCTCTTGTCTGGTGCCATCTCTTCATCTGCATCTTTATTTTCCTCTTCCTCTGGCACTTCCATGGCTTCTGCCTCTTTCATCTCCCTATCCTCTCTGGCTTTGCTCTTCTTGGCCATGTTGATCAAAGATTTCAGCAGCCCCCCTTGGCTTCACTTTTGCTGTGGCCTTTGCCTTGGCCTTACCCTTTGGTTTGGCCTTGGCCTTTCTCTTTGGCCTGCCCTGAATTGGCTCATCCTTGCTCTTGGCAATCAATTTCTTGAGCCTGATTTTTTTCTTATCCTTGAACTCCCTCAAATCATTCTGGTTGTCTGCCTCTTTACCCAGCTCAGACAACACTTCTGACAAATCTGTGTCATAGCCATCCTCTTGGTTCTTCTTCTCTTCTATGAACTTCTTTGCCACATCCATGTATTCCTCAGGGACCACAGCTTCAATGAGTGCTAGGTGTAGTGCTGCCTTGGCCATGTTTTTTATTGACCTTTTGCCCAGTGACTTGCTCTAGCAGTTGCCTCATCTGCTTGTGTGATAAAGTGTGGCCAGCAACCAAAGGGGATGCTGCCAAAAACAATGGCCCCCCACACTTCAGCCATCCTATGGGCCCCTTCACCACATTGGCCAAGACTGGCTGACACTGCACTTCAAGCCAGTCATCCAGGTCCACAATGTGGTGCCACATGATGATGCCTTTTATTGGGGCGCACTGATAGATCCTTTGCCCACCATTGCTGTGCACATGCAAAGTCACTGCCAAAAGGCCAAATTCTGCAGCAGCCATGACCTTGACCAGAATGCCTGTGGACCTTTGGGCCAAGATGCAGCCTGGCCTGGCCAGACAGGTCAACCAGGCAGCATTGACAGTACAGCCAGCAAAGCGAGCTGTCTTCTCCTGCCAGAAAGTAAAGAGCCACTCCCCAGCAGCACAAGACTGAAACAAAGAGTGTGGCCCTGGAGTTGCCCAGGAGTGGTCCTTGCTTTGGGGCTTCATGAGGAGCTGGATGCTTTTGGGCATCTTCTTGCCATAGCTTCTGAGGGAACTGGTCACATTGCCCTTCCACTTCTGCTGCCACTGGTCCCCCCATGACCTTCTCAACAGTCTCTGCATTGACACACTCTACACGCCTCCCTTCCAACACCTTGGATCTCAAGCAGTTGCTCATAATGGTTGTGTTGGAGAATGAATTTGCTTTTGACCCTCGAAATAGGTCTCGACCAAATTGATGAACATTTTCGATGACCCTAGAATCACCCAGGTTCTGTGCCACCACTTTCATCAATCTCACAGCTGCACTCCCAGTGGTGAAGGCCCTCCTCCTCAAGGCATCTTGCTCAAAGGCCAAAAAAAATCAATCTCACAAATGGACTCTTTCTCCAGTGCATACATGCCAGTGGCTGCACATCTGCACCTTCATTGTCAGCCCCCTCTGCCTCCAGCAAAATTTTCCACTGTTTGTTGGCCAGCTTGTGGGCAGCCAGTGACACTTCCAAGCTAGGTGACAGTGCATGGCAGAAAGCCATGGGTGGCAGTGTGTGAAATGCACATAGGCTTTCTGTCCTTTGCTCAAGGAGCCTGTCCAGCAGGTCCACTTGCCACTCTAAGGCTTGAGGGTGTGTCTGGTACTGGGGCTCAAGGTGTTGGAGGTGTCTTCGATCCAACAGAGAAGTGTGCAACATCTCCACCAACTCATGCTTCCAGTAGGCCTGGCTGGAGCAAGAAATGTTGAACTCCAGTACATGGTCTGGGGACACCAAGTCTCTGGCCCTTGCAGCAAAGGTTTGCCAGCTGGCTTTGCCCACACTGAGGATGATATCTTTCAGGGCCAATGTCCTGTCTGAGATGAGTTCAGGGGCCAGTTTCCAGGTCCCCTTCCTTCTCTTCAATTCATTGAGCTCCTGTCTATCATCTTGATGAGTGGCTGGTGGCCCTACATCCACCTCCTTGTCTGACCCTTCATCTGGCACCCCCATTGCATGCTCAAGGACCATCTTGGTGGCCTGCAGTTCCCCACTGTAGAACAGCATTGATTCAAACCAGCTGAACCACCTCATCAACTTGATTAAGGGCCCCTTCTGATTGAAGGTTTCTAAGTCCCTGAGCTGGTCGAAGAGGTCTTGAGACTCTATGGGGTCAGTGGGCTCCCTGATCCTCCTCTCTTGGCAGATTTTGGGGGCATACTTCTGCCAGGCAGCTCCAAAGGCAGTCTGTGTTGCAAGGAAATCAGCCAATCTTGCCTTCTTCTTCCAAAACCAGGCTGAGCTGCCATAAGGGCCATAGTTGAGGTTGCAGACCAGGGTCAGCTCCAGCACTACTCTCCATGCATTTGGCTTTGTCTTCTTCATTGCCAACTTCAAATCATTCCATGCCCTGTGGTAGGGGTCGAACTGTGCATGGAATAGGAGAGCATTCTCAGCATGGTACTGGAGATAGTTGACTGCCCCTATAATATTTGGCCCTTGATCAGAGATGGAGACTAAGCAGGGGAGGGCTCCAATGTCCACATGCTCTGGGATCTCTGGCACTGTTTGCTGGGAATGTTCATCAACAATAAAGAATCTTCCTCCAGCACCTTCCAACCTGTACTCTGTGGGCTTGAGTGGCCTCAATGTCAAGCCAGGTGGCACAATGAAGCTTGCCAGTGATAGTCCAATGGACTGTAGAGCACAGGACAAGGCTTTTATCTCTTTAAAGCCTTCCACCCTTGTCAGCTTCCTTGCCTTTGCCAGTGGAATCAGGTCAGGGTCCAGCTCAGAAACCATTGTGCTGACCATATGTTGGGCCATTAAATAAGCAGCCTTTCTGGTGTGGGGATCGAAGGCAATGGCCATCAAGATCTCCTTTCCACCATAGGTGGAAGGGTCCCAGGAAACTGATATCTGGCTGGATGATGAGAACTCATTCTCCAAGGCCTTTTTGTGCAGAAGGCAGTCAAGGTATGCCTCATACACCAGCATCCTGGAGGTGTCACCACCGAGTTCATCATGTGTCCTGGCCACCCTCCTCCTTTCCACCTTCTCCCTCCTCAGCTTCCACAGGAGCAAAATCTTGTTGACAGGATCTGCCACCCTCCTGGCATGACCATGCTTGGTCTTCAGTTGTGGAAGGGACTTCAATGCTTCCTCACTGATGCTGATTGCCACTTCTTTCAGCAACAAACCTGTTCTGCAAACAAATTCTGTCAACAGGCCCTGCCCCAAGCACTTGAAAACATTCTGGCCACCAGTCTTCTGCTTTTGGTGGCAAAACATGTAAGACATGAAGACCCAAATGTCTCTAGAGGTAGCAGTTTCCAGCCCACTGCTGATGCATGTGTTGAGCCAGCATCTTTGCCCCAGTTTTTTCCATAGTTGTATGGCAGGTGGGCACTTTGCCAATAGCTCCTGCCACCCTTTGCAAATACCTTGCTCTGAAAAGTAGAGCTCTTTGCATGCCAAATTGCCATTTGGCAAAGTCACCATGCCCATGAAAGGCCTTTGCACATCAGCAATGCTGAGAGCTCTTGCAGCCAGTTCCAGCAGCAAAGTCAAAGACTTCACCTTGGCTGCAGCCTTGAGTGCTCTGTTTTTCATCACCCACAGTAGGATAACTAGCAATCCCCTGGACTCAAAGGTATGGTCTTGCCATGTCTCCTTTTTGTTGGCTTCATCCTGCCCTTGTGGTTGCTGTCCATCTTGCCCTTGTGGTTGCTGTGGTTGTTCCCCATCAGCAGGCTTCTGGGCCTTTCTGTAGTGTAGCTCCCCAGCTGGCACCTGCAAAGATTGCATGGCATTTTGGATGCCATCCAGGTTGACTCTCAGTAGCTTTCCAGGCTCAGATGCAATGCCTAGACAGGTATGGGCCCTTGACCATGGCCACTCAGGGCAGCCCTCTTCATTGATGTATGCTCTTTGCTGAATGGAGTCCAGTGTGGCCACCCCAAATGGCAATTTGAAAGAATGCTCATGTTTCTCCACCCTCTCAGTAGTCTGCTCCTCAGCTACCATATCCATGGCTCCAAGGCTACCAAGGCTCCAAGATACCACAGGCACCCAGGCAAAGAAAGCAAAGCAGCACCCCAGTCTGTTGTTAGGGTGGTGAACATTCATTACATTATTATTAATGTATACTGTATACATTCTGTTGGATTGGTTATATTTTCCTATTTTTATGTTACATCATAATAAGTCATATGTCATGTATGATTGTGTTTATTTTCATTACATGGTGTGCACTTTGATGGCCTCTCCAGATCAGCTCAGTCTTAAGCCATGACCAAAGGCACACACACACTGCTCTGATCTGCAAAGAAATTGAAAAGTCCTGGACAGTGCATGCTGTTTGTCTGACAGTCACTGCTTGCACAATTGACCAAGCACAGCTTTGCTTTGCAGTGGCAGTCTGTTTGAACATTGAAGTTGGCCAAGGAGCTGGCACCAGGGTAGTCTCTGCCAAAGCCCTAGTTGCCATGATGTCATAGCCATTCTTCACAAAGGCCTTACTAAAATGAGCTTCAAGAGTGCAAACCCTTTTGACAAATCAGGTTGAACTGCAGTTGTGAAAGCCACCAAGGGACCTTTCACAAGCAAC